CAATGATTGCCGCCAGCCAACCTCCTTTTTTTTCACTGGGGAGGGGGGACAAGCTTTCACGCCAGGGTGAGTCTCAGGACTCCGTGCGTTGTTTTTGACGCGCGTGCTTCGGCTCGCCGCCTTCTCTCCCCTTTTTCGGCGGGTGGGGGGGAGGATGCTAAATGGTACAGCCCGGCTTGGGCTTTGCCATGAGGACAGTGTCAGTGTGCACGTAGCAAGCGCAGAAGCAGCAGAAGGACGGGTCCCAAGCGACGCGCGGTGCCGACGGGGCGGGCGCGCGCGCGCCCCTGGATGTTCCCCGGACGGCCGCCGAGGCAGCTGCTGTTTGCAGCTGGCGCGCGCTGTCCTCAAAGGCTCTTTTGAGCTCCGGCGCCCGAACCTTCCTTGGCCCCGTTCTAAGGAAGGGGAAGAAGAAGTAAAAGGAATCCCGCCCCGCTTTTTTTTTTACCTCATTTGCTTTTTTTTTTTTTGTAAGGATGCGCGTGCGCGAGCGTGTGTGCGTGCAAAAAGCTCAAGGGACCTAGTTATCTTTAGTACTGGAACAGGACATTCAAGACGCTGCAAATCTTGCATGCTGCCTGGGATGGTCCGCTTACTTCATGGGCACCCCACCTGAGTCGCCTGCTTTACACGTTGGCGTCCCTTGTTTGCTCCAAACAAATTCTTCTTAGCTGGCCTTTATAAGCAAATAACGCAGAGAAGATGCATTTAAGAACACTGAAGAAAAGTGATCCACCAAGCAAATCCTTCAGGAACGCTTTTACTTATGTAGGAAGCCACAGATTAAAATATTCTTTATTCTTAATATTAAAAAGAGGCAGGATGGAATATTTCCCCTAAAGGAGAAGAGAAGAAAATTTTTAACGAAGGCAGAAAGTGGCCCCAATCTTTCTGCCATAGGAAAACAGCCTCAAGCAGAAGCATAAGAAGCTGGTCTTTAGGAGATTTTGTATCCATGCAGAAAGACTTGGTTAATCTATTCATAAGCAAAGAGATTCCAAATAAGCAACACAATTAGGCAAGCCAAAACTGACAAGATTAGCTCAGACAAATACCTGGGATGTGCATTTCCCCTTTTGCCTGTAAAACCAGCCATGACCCCTACAGGACACCCTAGGAATCTGGCAACAGTCATTAAAATACTCAAGAACAGGCATCTCAATCACAAAGCCCCAAAGAATGTATACAAACCTACCTACTCTCAACTCCCATTTTGTCAGCCACCCCCAGAATCATGCTGCTGTCAACTAGTTTCTGGCTACCAAATAAACAGAGACTTCCTTTCCTGCAGCTTGCCTCCATTTTATTTCCAGCATCGTTCTCCTGGCTTGGAACTGGACTGGATTTTTCTTCCAACACTTTGGCACACCAGATGGGACTCTAAGCTAACCTAACCAACAGATCTGGCCCAGGTAAACCTTCACCTTGATGGCAGCAGACCCCTTGTGTCTGTGGGTGGGTTCCCCAAACCTTGCCTGTTTGGAGCAAGTGTATAAAGGGCTGCTTGGAAAGCAGGTGAGTACATCTAAATTTTAACTTTTAAAGCCCAGGAGAGTGAGGGAACTGTGTGTATGCCTGTGTGTGAACAAAAGGACCCTTCTCTCAGCCACAGCTAGATCCTGCTCCTTCCATGCCTTCCTTGCCTTTCCTAGCCTCCAAAGGCTAGTCCCAATGGTTCTCTGGGACTTCACTAGTCCCAAAGGACCATGACTGACAGTCTGGAAAGCAAGGAAGTTTTCCTAACATAAGGTACAGGGCTGTGTGAAAATGGAACAGAAAAGCGAGTGAGAGAGTGGAAATTGGAATCGAACCTGAACAAGTAGCTGGGAAGTCACTGAACAAAGTCCTATCCAAGGAGGTGCTTGTACTACTGCTGAAAGGAGCAGAGGTCTTTCCAGACTCTTCTGGGTCTGAAAACCGAAAAAGCAGGCTGCGAAAGGAGGTGCACATACTACTGCAGGGGAGCAGAGGTTGTCTCAGAACCTTTTTTGGTCTGAAAACTGCTGGCGAGCTGTTTCCCCTAGGAAGGAGGTGCCGTATTCCGAGAAGGGAACCAGAGTCGTCCGAGACCCTTTGTTGTTGTTTTGGTCTGAAAACCAACACAAGTAGGACAGGAAGCTTGTATAGAAGTTTGACTGCAAGGGAGACCCTGCAGAGCCAATTGAATCTCTACAGTGGATATAAAGAAACATGAGAAGTTTCTGCTTGAGGATCTTGCCAGGATCCCCACCAGGAGACTTGCTTGATGCTTGGGATGAGAGGCAATGACCTGTCCTGGCTGGTATGAGGAAGATACAAGCAAAAAAATTATGCAAGAGATGGACTTTGTTCAGGGACGCTGGAAAACCAATTTGGCTAAATAAAGATAGTTAAAAGAAAAGAAAAATATAGTAACATTGATCTTTCTTCCCTCCTAGATTTTTGTCTTTCCTAATTTAGATTAACTAAGATTTATGGTGAGAATGACCAGGATGTATAAACCTGAGAGTTGTTTTCCCTTTCTTTTCTCTTTCTGTTGTCTTTGTGTGTGTATGTGTGTCAAATCTTTGTTGTCCTTAAGGTAAATGTAATGGTTAAATGTCTCTAATCCCTAAAGACAAGAATTTACAATTCTGTTAGGAAAAAATGCTAAAATAAACCATAAAAAAATAAATACCTTCACCCTAGTTTGTCTGTGTCCCCCCCCCCCGCCCCCTGGTGCCTTTAAGAACAGCCCAAGATTGTCAGGAGGGAATGTTTTAAGCTCATTTTATTCCATTGGTTACAGAGATTTTCAAAATAACGTAAAAAGATGGATAATGAATATAGTAGGGATGTCTGTGTGTCACAGCATTAATTTGGTGGGGAAAGCATTATAATGGTGGTTTAATCTACCAAACCACTATTAATTTTATTATATTCCAGGATTTATTCTGTGGCATAGTAGAAGAGCATTGAACATTTGTATGTGCAAATTCAGTTAAACATAGTTGTGTACACACACACACACACACACACACACACACAAACACACACAACTTCTAGACTGACTGACTGACTATGTGTCTCATGTGATTTATCACATGAAATCAACTATTTACACAAAGGAACAAAAATGACCATATGCTTTAGCAGTTCTTAAATAATGTGTATGATTTGTCATTTTATAATGTAGTTTTCAGAATGGGAACACCGCACCAGCATTCTGTTGCTTTGCTCATGCAGAAATAATGCATAGTTTTTAAATAAATATGCAAATAAATAAATGTAAAGTCCTTAGGAGGAATAGGACTAATATATCCAGGCCACACCTGAAGAGGTTCTAAAAATTTTTGAAACCCACCACTGGGATGGGGAGCATAACTTACTAATATGGAACATATATTGGAGAGAAGATTCATAAGTTATAATTGGTATTTTAATGTTAATTACATCAAATTTTGCACTTAGGTTTGAAAAAGGATTTACGTTAGATGTGTCAGGGGTGGGTTTCAACCAGTTNGATGTTAAAATATTATTTAATTAGTAAGGACATATTATTTTAAAAATAATTCAGAAGCAAAATCCTAATGTATATAATTATCTGGAAGTACATTATGAGTAGATTCTTGTGTGTGTGTGTGTGTGTGTGTGTGTGTGTGTGTGTGTACACTTATAATCCCCATTATGTTCAATAGGATAAGCAACAAATATTCCCTGATTAATATGGGTTTAGATGAATTGATTGCTGCATGCTGTTTCTTAGCATACACTTTATTAATTTTTAACTGCCTTGCACATACTGTATACAAACAATTTAATCACCTGAAGTTTTCATATAAAATCTTTACAGCATTTTAGTGTATTAGTATTGTATTTGAAGGCATATCTTTTCGGACAACATTTCATTAATGTTCGTAAGAATCTAATATGGACATATGAATGTATGCTTTTCAACGCAGTAGTTAGAAACTACTTTTATATACTCTGTGTGTGTGTGTGTGTGTGTGTATGTATGTATGTCTCACTTTTGTTCAACAAAGTTATGCAAAACCTGCATTTACAAGGAAATCCTGAAATAGTGTTGTGTATTAGAAATGAGGATTCATTTTTTAATTTTCATTCAACATATCTGGCAATGTAACTGTAGAACTGAAGCAGAAAATCTTATTGTTGGGTTCATTTTCCTCTTCACTATATTTTGGACTAGAATCCATAAAATTGTTAACATAACCTTGATTATTTCCATTTGTTAAGGACACTTATATAACCTTAGACTGTTATGCATATCCATAGGATACAGATAGGACTAGAAGAACTATGCCTGATGTATATAATTGTAATGCTTGATGTATGTTCTTTGTTGCTTTTGAACGGATTCTTTTTCAATAGAAAAGAATGTGTCTAGGCCATGGGCCTCAAATGTTTGAAGGGACCCAAATCCTGGCTATATGAGTATTGTTGGCTGAAATATTTCTGCAGCAGCTATGCATTTAAATTTTTGTATTTATTGCTATAATTGCTGATAAATAGATTAGAAAGAAGGAGAAATACTGCGTATAACATTTGCTAGATTTATATTTTGCCTTTCATTTAAGGTAGCAGGCATATTATTCATGCTTTGTGTTTTTCTTCACAATTGTCCAAAGGCACCAAATGAGCTTCTGAGGACAGACTAAAGTAGCAGTCCCCAACCTTTGTGGCTTGGTGGCCTGGCTGGAAGGGGGAAGAGGGGAACCAGTCTGTGCATGTGGTGGGCTGGTGTGCACATGTGAGAATGCAATGCCGATCCAGTACTTGTGCAAGTCAAGGTGCACGCACATGCACCGGCCACCCGTCACGCAGCCCAGTTCTGAATAGGCCATTATGGCCCAGTAGTAGACCATGGAACAAAAAGATTGGGGAACCCTGGACTAGAATATGGGTCTCCCTGATTTCAGTTTCCAACCACAGGGGTGTCAAACTCAATGTTATTGAGGGCCACATCAGGGTTGTGCGGGTTTTTTTTTAACAAAAAATTTCATTCTGCTTTACACTTGTAGGAAGCCAGTTCCAAATGCCCCACAATGGATGAAGACAGCCAGGATGAACTCATAAACAAGAATGCTGCAGTAGGCAAAGTTAAAAGAACAAATGCGCTGCTCTTTAGTGATGCAGGTAAATGAAATTACTCAGTGTGCATTCCAACTTTCTGGTTTTTAATCAACTAGTATTTATAATAAAATATCTCCTAGTGGTTTTGATAATTTCTTGGCTCCATAGTTGTAAACATTCAAACACAGACATAGTTTTAACTCCTATTCAGTTTAATGCTTGGCTGGCATTAAGGAGCTAAGAATTCCTACAGGATAACTTTTGCTTTCTTTTCACATTAGGATGAGGAGCCTGATGCCCTTGCTTCAGTTTTCAAAGCCTTTGTTAAGTGATCAATTCAGATCCATGGCGAGAGCAAGTTCTCTCTTTTCTAGTATATTGCTAGGTGAGAGAAACTTGTAGTTCTGCTCAAGCTTAAATGGTTCCACCCACCCATATTTTTGAACTTACCTGTGGAGATCATTTAGTTCCCAGAGATTGCCCGTAAAGGAATGCAACATTAAAAAAAAGACCTTATCCATTCCTTTACACCGGACTTACCTTTTCTGGGAAGTTTTTTTATATGGGGTCTGTTAAAAGTTTAAGAGGTCAAGGAGAAATTTGCAGTATGAAATTCATACTGTAGGACTCCTGCCTATATTCTAGGCCCATGATGGTGAACCTATGGCACGTGTGCCACAGGTGGCACTAGGAGCCAATTGTTAGGGCATGTGAGGCGTTGCCCTGTCAGCTCCAGTGTGCATGTGCGTGCTGGCCAGCTGATTTTGGCCTTCTTTTGAGGCTGTTTTTCGCCCTCTGGGTGAAAAACCAGCCCTACGAGCAAACTGGACGTTCGGGAAAGTCACTTCCGGTTTGGCCATAGTGCCATTTTTTGCCTTCAGGAGGCTTCCCTGAAGGCTCCGGAGGGCAAAAAGTAGACTTATAGCCAAACCGGAAGTTCCGGTTTGGCCGTAGGGGTGTTTTTCGCCCTCCAGAGTCTTCAGGGAAGCCTCCTAAAGGCTTCGGAGGGCGAAAAATGGCTCTACGAGCAAACTGGAAGTCCGTTCCCAAACTTCCAGTTTGCCCATAGGGCTATTTTTTTGCACTCCGGATGCTTCAGGGAAGCTTCTGAAGCCTCCAGAGGGCCTGGTGGGGGGAGGCAGGGGAGGCTGTTTTCGCCCTCCCCAGGCTCCTAGAAAGCCTCTGGGGAGGGCAAAAAAGTGTGGCAAAAGCAGGGGGGAGCGCTGGTTATGTGCGCATGTGCACAGGGGGGAAGCGCGTGCATGTGCACTGGTTCATGCACATAGCATTAGAGGTGTGCCATTCCCGTGCCTGACCCTCCTGTGCTCCCCCTGCTTTTGGCATCACTGCTCTAGGCCCGAGCAGCTTTATGGGTTAAGTCTCTTAAGTATTGACATAAACACATTCTTGGTCAGATCAGAGCCTGAGGAATTTAGTGTGGCTCCTTTGCGTTGGTTCAAAAGTGGACATTATGCATTTCTGCATTGATCTAATAATATCTTGGAAATTTATCAAAAATGGTCTATGTTACACTTAGTTCAATTATAACCTGTTTCAGCTCAAAATATCTGAATGAATGCATAAAGTCAGTACGGGCCTTAATTTTGTAGCTTATGTGACCCCCCTTGGATCTGAATAATATCTCAGTTTGTAATTTCTGAGTCATTTAGGGTCAACGTTTTTAGCTTTTAAAGAAAAGATTTAAAAAAAACCTGTAGCTGGTGGTTGCAAAGTTTATGTGACAAGTGATCAGACTGCTAATGATTAACATATCAAGCCATCCTGGCTCCTTTCTCTTCCCAGAAAGTGAGCTGTCCCTTTGAGTGTCCAGAAGCTGAATCTTTAAAATTGAAAAATTAAATTTGATGGTTAGCTGCTATGGATAGTAATGATCCCACTCCCCCCCAAAAAAATATTCACAGAAACAGAAATATAAGGTTCTCTGTAAGAAGAAACAAGTATGTCAACTGACAAAGTGGGACAGACCAATTCACTCAATCTTAAAAATGATATCCTGTTCTGCTTCCTTGTTTCTATCCAGGTCCAAAACTAGAATGCATAATCTAATAACATATAAGACATGGGATGCTCGCTATTATGTGCAGTTCCACAACCAGGAATTATGATATACATCCAGTAATCACTAGCACTCTCCTAACTTGGCATCCAATCTCCAAACCATTTTAAAAGTGGTAAAATTACTGGAAGGGACTTCACCTTCCCACAAGTGCTGAAAGAAAACCCTAATTGGTGGGCTGCTGTTTTGACCCCCTCTATTCACTAATATCAACATTTCTCTGCAGATCTCCAAAGAATGAACAGATTTTTTATTTTTGCCCATTCACTCATATCTAATTTTCAGAGACTGCGTGGATAAGTCCCTGCAGTTCTTGGCCTGATTTTCAGAAGTGGTTTGCCATTGCTTCCTTCCAAGGGCTTAAAGTGAGAAGCCCAAGGTCACCCAGTTGGCTTTGTGCCGAAGGCATGGCTAGAACTCACAGCCCTTCCTTTCCTAGCCTTCTGCCATAACCATTACACCAAAGTATCTCTTAATTAATTATAATACCTTACAAAAAGGACAACAAAGCCAATCTAATTATCATCCTGTCAGCTTACTATGTATAATTAGCAAATTATATTCTAAACTTTTTTATAAGCTTGCTGATTTACTGGTCCAAAAAAGAATCTTCTCAGTACAGCAAGTCAGTTTTAGATAAGGTTTTTCTATTGCGGTTCAATGTGTTGCTCTGCAAAGTATATTAACCTTCCTGGAGGTTCTTTCCAAATTACTTTCATTGGTCTGAAAGAGGCATTTTTTTCATTCTTTATATTCATTCATGTGAGAGGTTGTGGCAAAAAGTAGCAGCATAATCTCCATTGACCAGTGGCTCCTGCAATCAATTATGATCTTGCATGAATAGATTGCAGTGCAGGAGAACTGACTGACTATTCGAACTTCTAAGAGAGTAAACAGGGATGTGTCCTGGCCCCTCTATTATTTAATTTATGCATTATTTATTTTGTTCAAGCCCTTACTAAAACCAAATTTCACCCCTCTGCTCGGACCAGTAAACCAATCTCCATTCTGCTATATGTCTATGCTGCTGCAATCTTGTCTGTTTCCCAAATAAAGCTGCAACATAGCCTTTGGGCCCTAGCATCCTACTGCCAATCTGAAATGCTAGAAATCAACCATGTGAAAATTAAGGTCCTTCTATTCACCAAACTACCTGGAGGATCAATAATGATAAAAACTGAGGAGATCAAAGCTTTCAAATGTCTTGCCATCTATTTCCAGTCATTTTCCCAGGAAGCTTTCCTCTTCAAACCTTTCTTTGCAATCTCAAACAGCACTAATGCAATCCTTAGATATTCAACCCACAAGGGTAACAACTATGTGCCCTCAGCAATTAAACTTTTTGAAACCAGAGTGCTAAGTGTTTTGTTATATGGCACACAATGTTGCATTTTCAAGGACATCGGTGGGGCCTTAGAAACTATACAATGTTAATTTCTGAGATCCTTACTCCAGATTCTCCATTTGGTTGCTAACACCCTTCTCCAGGTAGAATTCAGTCAAAGACTTATTTACTACTTTACATTCTAGTTGATAATGCCCTTTCTTGATTTTCTTTACTGTGTTTTTCAAAAGAAAGCAGTGATGGAAATAGCGGAGACTCTGATGACACAGGAAGTGAGGATGAAGGTGATACTGATGAAGATGGAGATGAAGAGAATGAAGAAAGTGAAGATGAAGATCTAGAAGGTGATTATAACAACTCTTTCAGTAATATTAATTAAAGACGTTTTACATTAATGAGCTATTTTTGCAGCTACTTTAGATGAGAGTAGTTGCTAACTTGCCTAATTTGCATCAAATCACTATAATAATTGAACTGTAGACAAGCACATTCCTCTTATAACTGTTTTGGTTGCTTGCTAGTCATTCATAGTATTAAACATAGTATTAAAGGCTGCCATCCAGGCATGGTATACACCCATTCATGTGCGCGCACACAAACACAGACACGGGGGGGGGGTGTTACTCTTTGTCACATACAATATGAGTCTGATACCTTGGCCCTCATCTTTGTTGGCAATCAGGATTTAGGAGGACATATAAATGTTACACTTGATTCAATTATACTTAATTTGTGCATTTCTTGTTAATAAGTCTGGGTCACCAATGACAATAGAGATACCTAATAAATATGTATCTAGTATTATACAGATAGTTTTCAACTCTTGCCTAAGCTGCCTTACTCTTTTCTACTGTCTCATGTTCCAAGTAAAATAATTTTCCAGCCTTCCAGAACAGGTTTGGTGATATGTATGCATGAGACTATTGGGTTTTTTTTCTTCGTAAGATACTGAAGAGGAGGAGGCAGAAGATGACATGGAAATGACTTCTGAGCAACCAGAATATTCTATTAAAACGAAGCCTGAACTTAATGGAGAAATTAATTCTTCTACCGATGAAGATGCTGAAAACTGCCCAATATGTCTCAATACATTCAGAGATCAAGCAGTTGGAACACCTGAGAATTGTGCCCATTATTTCTGCTTGGATTGTATAGTTGAATGGTCTAAAGTAAGAACTCATTTAATTGATAAAATTATGCTAGAGTTGATGCTATTTTGTGAGCTTTGTGACTCTTTCATAATGTGTCTTTTTACAGGTCATATTTGGTTGGTAGCAAATAATCATTAAAGATCCTCTAAAGTTCCCCCAGAAAGTTAATTTGTATATACATGTCCTCGGATTATTTTAATTATTATTCTTTTTCAATTCTTATGGTTAATAATTGCTGCCTGCTCTTAAAATAGTTTAGTGTTCTCTGGTTAGAATTGAGAAATATAAATCCAGATGTTATAATAAATGAAACAAATGCTGACAATGTAGATACAATTATTTCAGTTCAGACTTACTAAGCTCTGAAAATAGAAACATATCAAGTTTTTAAGGCAGGTCCTCAGCTACATAACCATTAAGAACTTAATCAGTTCAATTTAACCAGTTGAACAACTATGAATTTTAAATTTATTTAAAAATGGAGATGCTTTTGAAATTGGTAAATTGTCTCATCTCCCCCTCCGTTTTTTTTTTCTTTTTACAGAATGCCAACTCTTGTCCCGTGGATCGGATCATTTTTAAATCTATTTGTGTTCGTGTGCGCTTTGATGGAGAAATTTTGAAGAAAGTAGGTATTTTGTTTTCTTAAAAATAGCAAAAATCAAGAGTATGTTTTGCAAAACATAAACAGCATTTTCTGTATCTGCTTTCTCATTTCTAATCTACTCGTAATTCACTGTTGTGTGCTTTTTCTGGATTTAATCTTTCTGAAATAACACAGTTGGTAGTATTCACCAGTTTATAATGAAGTATGTAGGTATGCAGGTCTTGGCGTATTCGAGTCTTTTACGCTTTGCTCGCACAAGCGCGAAGCCAAAGGCACCAGCCTGAAGATAACGAGTGTGACCTCGTCGAAATGTCGCCAAGATACTGTCAATCTTACACGGGAAAAGACCTGAATATGCCAAGACCTAGATAGATAGATAGATAGATAGATAGATAGATAGATAGATAGATAGATAGATAGATAGATAGATAGATAGATAGATAGAAAGAAATAAGAGATAGAGATAGAGATATATGTTTTCATACATATCTATATCTATCTATTTATATCTATCTATCTACACAAACGCGCGCGCACACACACACACACACACACACACACACACACACATACACATACATATACACACAATAAATATCTTACTGCTCCACTTTCATTGATCCAGTCCCGAAATTGAAACAAGGAACAAGTAAGAATACATAGAAAGAACACAAAGTAACATTTGGTAACTCTGATATTTAAACTGAAAATGCTTTTGGTTTAAGTTTTTTTAATGTTACCCTTTAAGCAATCTTGAAGAAAAAAAAATCTATATAAAATGGAAAGAAATTAACTTTATAATATGGTGACACTTCTCCTTAAATCTGACATCATGATGAAAAAAAACACACAAAAAGCTCATGTTTAGACACAATTAGACAAAGCTGAGTTGTGGTACTTGTTTGTACAGGAACATTGCTTGTTTTACTGTGAACAATGCAAAATCTCCTTAAAATGTTTTCTTTAGATACCTGTTGAGAATGCAAAATCTCAGGAAGATAGTCTGGAGGAAGATCCCACCTTTTGTGAAGTATGTGGTCGAAGCGACAGAGAAGATCGCTTACTGCTTTGTGACGGATGTGATGCAGGGTAAAGAGTCCTTGCCTTTAAAAAATCTTTCTTGATTGTAACATTTGTCATATGTTTCTTGAGATTAGGATTTCCCTTGAGGGTGTTAGTTTGCTTTTAATATAGACGATGCCACATTTTTGTTGACATACCTGACCAGATGTATCCTTTAAACCTTTCCAATCATTCATAAGTTGTATGTTTGAAGAGTGACAAGGATACTTTGCTGTATCACATGGTAACTGGAAATCTTTGGCAGGAATTGCTTTCAGGTGAATCTGGTTATAAAGCTTCACACTTTCACTGTGATCTATGACCATGGGGCACTTTGTACTTACTTGCCTACAATTATAATTTTTCTATTAGATCTATTGACAAAGATGGGTTGCTCAAAGATGGACAGGGTGTGGCCACAGTGAGCTTTTTTGTTTTACTCTGCAGTTACAGGTTATGTACCCTCATACAGAGAATTTCAAAATATATATTATCTCTCTCCTTAGCACCGCTCTTAGTTAACATACATTATAAATGTGTTATATTTTAAGTAAGTGATAATTGGAACATGCAACCTTTTCTGGTTTCTTAGATTTTTGGTAAATGTTTTTTCTGGTGAGACCGGTCTATCAGACAACCTGGTCTACCCAAATATAGAATGGAGCATACTGCTTTCACCTTTCAGCCCCAATCCAGGAACCTTTTCATGCAGTTGCTTTTGCGACAAATCCTCAAAAATAGCTTGTCGCGAAAGCAACTTCCTGCAAAGGCCCTGTATTGGGGCTGAAAGGCAAAAGCAGAAGCAGTATGCTCTGCCCATATTGGGGTAGACCAGGTTGCCCTGATAGACTGGTCTCACCATGAAAAACACTTAATGTCTCCCCGGTGTAGCTGACAAACCAAGAAGAGCCCATGGCTTAGAGGTTAATACATCTACCTAATATGTAAGTAGCCCGGGTTCAAATCCCAGATGGGTATGGCTAGCTGTTGAGAGCTAAATAGCTTGAAATAGATCTGTACTAGTCTCCCTTTATTTTTTTGTCAGTAAATATAAATTGAATACAGAAATAATATTTTGGTATTTTGTTAGCTCTTGAAATATTTCTTAATTCCATAAAAACAAATGTCTTGGTCTGGTTAGAATAGGAAATTGTGCATGTACATCACTCTCTGCATAATAGGCAAAAGGGCCTGGTGTTCTCTTCTACCTTTACAGTTTTGTAAAAATCCCTTGTATACTCTTTCTTTAGTTACCATATGGAATGCCTTAATCCACCTTTAAGCGAGGTACCTGTAGATGAATGGTTCTGTCCGCCATGTGCACCTGCAAATGCTATGCCTGCTGAGGCTGGCAAGTATTTTCTTTATAACATATTTTTAGTTTGAATGACAGAAATTAGTTTTACAAAACATACTGGTATTTAATTTTAACATTATTGTTATCTTATAGAGGCATAGTTGCAATGAAAAATCTTGTGAAAAGATTTATTCTACGTAGTGCTATTACATGGCAGCAAAATTCAGTAACCAAATCTTGTTGCTTAGATGTAGACAAAGGTTTCAGAATGGTTGAATGTCTTGCATACTTAAGTTGTTAATCTAAATATCTATAGATGAACTCATTCATTTGTGAACTATGTAGCACTTGGTCTCTAGAAAGGTGCTCAAGTGATGGTTGAAATATAGCTGAAAACTGACACAGATCTTCTTTTAAGAAACAGATCAGGTGAGCGAAGAGGAAGTTGCTTCACTCATCGCTGATGTAATCCCTACCACTAGTCGACTGCGTCCCAGTGCCCGGACACGAGCTATTGCTAGAACACGCCAAAGTGAGCGCGTGCGAGCCACCGTGAACCGAAATAGGATAACAACTGCGCAGAGAATTCAGGTACAGTTTAATCTGATGGAATGATATAGTCTACGGACAGCTATCCCGTAAATGACCAAGGGTAGACAGCATAGCATTGTTTGCCCATAGGAAAGGAATGAGGTACATACTTGCAATCATTTCTGGCATGTAAATCAAAAGTGTGACGATTTCTGGTAACAGTTCTTGGGCCCAGTGATTTAAGTACATGTTTAACAACAACAAAAAATCATACATACACATACTGTTGGTATTCATTACTCATTTGGTTCTGTAGATTTGTATAGAAAACATAGAAAACCCTTCCACTGATTTTTTTTTGAACTTTTCTGTCCTTATATTCTAAAGTACTTTTAGAATGGAATAGATTTTACAAGAATCTTGAAGCTCCTAGGCTGGCTATAACTTTGCAGGACTAAGGTAATATGTAGAGGTAGTCCTTGAGTTTCGACCCCAATTGAGCCCAAAATGTATGTTGCTAAGTGAAACATTTGCTAAGTGAGTTTGATCCCATTTTACGACTTTTCTTGCCACATTTGTTAAGTGAATCACTGCAGTTAAGTTAGTAACACTGTTGTTAAGTGAATCTGGTTTCCCACTGATTTTGCTTGTCAGAAGGTCACAAAGGTGATCACATGACCCCGGGACACTACAATTGTCGTAAATGTGAATCAGTTGTCAAGCATCCGAATATAAATCACCTGACCATTGCGATGCTGCAATGGTCATAAGTGTGAAAAATGGTCACAAGTCACTTTTTTCAGTGCCATTGCAACTTTGAATGGTCACTAAGTGAACTGTCCTAAGTTGAAGACTACCTGTATTTTGTGTCACTGCAGACATGCAATATATAAATATAGTTCTAAATATATAATTTCATTTAAAGGTATGTAGGCATGTACACTCAACAAACAGCTTAAATTGAGCCTGTTGTGTGTGTCATGCGGGTCACCACATAATTGTGTCTGATTTTATGACCTTTTTTGCGATGATTGTGAAATAAACCGGATTCATTAAGTGAATGTTATCTGCAGCATCTTTTTCTGGAAGCCAGTTACCAGTTAAAAAAACAACCCATAAATTGTGGTCTAATGATTGCAGAATAATACAAACAGCTATAAATGTGAGGAAGTTGTTGAGTGCCCAAATTGTGATCACATTATAATTTTGAATTCTATGTGAATAGTTCGTACGTTGAGAACTGTGTGTGTGTGTGTAATGACATCTCTGAAGTACTACATAAGCACCCAGAGCTACTCCACTTCTAGAATGAATGATGCAGTCAAATTCACAATGCTTTAAAATGTTGACATTGGCAAAAGTACATCCATGGTCTAAAGGTAACTTTGGTTAAATTGCAGAAAGAGAGACTATTTGCCTTGGGCTTATATCCGCTTCCTGCAGATCAATGCAGAAGGTCAAGAAATGCTTAAAATAGACAGTTTTCACACAAGCGTTGTGTGGGCAGGACGTTATGTTCACTTGTGTTTCCTAATGGAATGATGGATACATTGAACCCGATTCACCATTTATTTGCTCTACCAATAATTTATAGTAGAGACAAATTTATGACTTCCTGGGCGGAAGGACTTTGAAGTGATTGAGAGGGAAACATCTGCTGATAACAAAGAGAGGACATAATTTGGGAGAAAGGTTAGAGGGGAAAGATTTTCTCTTTTCAAGTGAGATTTGCGAATTTAGCATTAGTTAGCTTCAGCCAGTAATCATAAACATTTGTCTTGATTTTAGCATGTACCAAGGTACGTTATGTCTTCCTTTCTTGACGAAGCAATTGAGGCAGTTGCAGCGGGTCTGAGTACAGCTGTGTACCAGAGACCATTAACTCCTCGGACCACAACCAGGAAAAAACGAAAAGGAGGTAATTCAATCACAATAATGCACTTAGTTGCATTTTCTAGGGAAGCTTGTCATGTATTTCCCTTCCCCTGCCTTCGTGGAAAGTAGAATTGGAGGAACGTGCCTGACTTGTTCACCCATTGTGCCCGTACAGTTCTGATTGAACTCAGATCTCTTTGCCTTTAAATTCAAGTGCCCCCACCCCCATAGACTTCATTATTTATGTAATGTTTCCATTCCACAATGTGTTTCCCCAGTGTAAGTTAAATAACTTCTATTTAATAATGCAGAGGTTGAACAAACAAGACAAAAAGGAACATTCTTATGAAACATTCTTTTTTGGGGCGGAGGGGGGATAGCAAAGGGCTCAGGATGGCAGAATAGGTAGAAAATTTTTCTTTCAAAAATTTACAGCTGAAAAATACAAGTGAGTGGAGGACTTTCTGTGTGGTGACCGTAGCTTTCAGTACAGAGCAATGCAATTCCTGTATGCAGAAGCTTATTAATTAATGGTGATAAGCTTTGATAAGCATATATATACATGGCCATAGATCTAATGAAATCTGTGCATCCCTATATTAATGCATAGAATTGCTTTTGATGAGAAAAACCATTCAATTGGCAATTAATGCAGGTCAGAGATGTATAAAGAGTGTGAAACTCGTGCTGCTTGGTAAACATGAGAAATGTGGCATGAGTTAATACTTTGCATTATGCAGTCAATGAAATTGTCAATGCACTCAGACGATCAGATATCTCAATCCTCCTAATAGGTTTGGGCAAATAGATGTTCCCTGTGGGAATTTTAAGAACACGTCCTGTTTCTGCGAGGATGGCATAGAAACATGGCTGATCACAATGCATGTGCTTGTTAGAACACTGTGTAGCTGATGGGGGTATTAGTCCCTACCATTCCCTCTAGCTCCAAATTGTATTTCTCTTCTCTCTGAGGAAACTGGCACATTTTTAAACTAAAAGGTGCACAGCAGCCACCCCCGTTTTTCTTTTCTAAAAGAGACTGCGAAGCATTCCTGAAAATAAAATGAATGCTGGTGTTGAGTTCTTTGTTTTGCATCATAAGGTAATTAGTGGGTAAAGAAGAGATTGAGAGGGTGGTGGTGAGCACAACAGCCTGTTGGGGATGTTGAAGTTTTGTCGCTCATGCAGATATTCCAGAAAGTCTGTCCGAAATTGCCAACTGGGGTGGTGCAGTGTAATAAGAGTCCCAACAGAGCATCATCTCTTTGTTGCAATTTCCATTTAATTCAGGCAGGAGAAGAAAAACCACCAGTAAAAAATGGCGCACCAAATCATCATCTGCTGGGAAAAAAGGCGCTGGAACGTGGAATAAGAGACGCAAGCATCGGACAAAGAGGAGAAAGGGGAAAAAAACCCAGGTATTCTCCCACACTGTTTTCAGGAGTGCAGAAATATAGTTGATTAATCAAGTAGCATGTTTTATTGGGATTTTTAAAAAAAATCAGTGATAATTTTTAAGAGAATGTTGGTGGCTGCTGTTGTGTATTTTCTCTTTTGCCTCTTAAGTCAACTGGACATTTTTAGCTTAGCTAACTTAATGTTCTATCCAGGTGAGGGCTGAGGTGACAGCTCGTTCTCGAATAGCAAAAACTCTTCATCTTGGCAAGCCTATACGTGGTACTTCAATCCCTTCCATCTGCAAACCAATAGAACCGTCACTTGGGTTTATGAGAGCTGATATTGGAGCTGCCTCCCTCTCTGTCTTTGGGGATCCCTTTGAACTAGATCCATACAACAGGTAAGCATAAGATAAGTGGGAAGAAGATAATGTTTAAAGAAACCAGAGTAAGACTCCAAGTGATGTCATGTTTGGAATGGCTTTGAACAGATCAAGGCTATTATCTGATGCTCACTTTTCTTTAAAAAATTTCAGTGCATTACTAATAGCAATAACAATAACACTTATGTATCGTACTGCACTGATAGTGCTTTTACAGCCTACTCTAAGCAGTTTACAGAGTCAGCATATTACTCTTAACAATCTGGGTCCTCATTTTACCCACCTCGGAAGGATGGAAGTCTGAGTCAACCTTGAGCCTGGTGAGATTCGATCTGCCGAACTGCTGGCAGCTGATGATCAGCAGAAGTAGCCTGCAGTGCTGCACTCTGACCACTGCGCCACTGTGGCTCATAAGTTACTCATCTTGAAGATTAATGTTTCAATTAATGGAATCTCTCTGTAAAGAACTGTCAAGGTTGCCCAAATTCTAGCATGAAATCTGAGTGTAGCAATAACAGTAGCATTTAGACTTATGTAGTGCTTCATGGTGCTTTACAGTCCTCTCTAAGTGGTTTACAGAGTTGGCATATTGCTCCCAACAATCTGGGTCCTCATATTACCAATCTCAGAAGGATGAAGGCTGAGTCAACCTTGAGCCATTCAGAATTGAACTGGAATGAGCAGCGAGTTAGCCTGCAGTGCTGCATTCCAACCACTGCACCAGCACGGCTCTGTATCTCTTCTTTTGTGTATTTTGATATTTTCAGTGGTACATATTTCAAGTCTGAGTATATTACTTGTCTTGTTTTGAGAAGCTCATATTGATGCTTTCCTCATATTGAACATTTTACTTGGCACTTTCTTCCTCTTGATTTTTTTTTCTTCCTCTTAACACAACAGTTTGTTAAATGTTTCATATCAATACTTCCAATGTAATGGGTTTTCTCGTTTTGTTTTGCTTGAAACGGAAAACCTGTAGAATGTTCCATTTCCTGCCTGGGCTTTGCCAGTATGACCACTCTAGGGGTGATCTGATGATTTTCCAGAAATTAATTCTCCAACTGGAAACAGTTTGATGTTTTGAACATGGCTCATTGAAGCAGACTTGTTTATCAAAATACACCATCTGGAACACCATAAGCTATATTTTGTTCATAAAATTAACTTCTAGAAAAATGATAAAACTCACAAATAGCTCAATCAGTATGCCAGAGGGAAAAAGTTATGTTCTAGAGTTTTCCAGAATGTTTCACTCTCTAAATGTTAAATTGTGTACTTTCCTATTTGGGGCTCTTAAAAAAAGTTTAATGTGTTCCTTATGGCAATTTCGACAGTTCTCAGAAAGAAATATTTGTGTCTTTTTGAATACTTACTGCTAATACAGCACTGATTGCATGTTGCATTAAACTTGCCAGGAAAAAAAAAGTGGCTCTAGTGTCAAAGTACATCCTGAAATTTACTCAAGAGAAATTAATATGTTGCACTTGTGCTTTCCTTCAATTTCAATCATCATCATCATCATCATCATCATCATCATCATCACAACAACAACAACAACAACAATAGCACCACTTGAACACCTTCAGCATTGACAATCCCCATCAGTCAATTGCAGAAGGCAGCTCTACTTAGAATAGTTGACATCCTGCAACAATTCCTTGAACAGCATCAAACGATAATGTCTGCCTATCCAGGTCCTTGGGAAGGACTCCATAGGTGGATCAAAATTGTCAAATCCAGTCTAAACATCTGGTTGACTGTGGGACCCACCATAATAATAATAATAATATAAGTAATAAAAATGAGCTATGATTGGACATTTTCAGTGATTTTTGAGTTTTTCTCTCTTTAGCAATGAAGAACTTCCTGTTGCTAACTCAGCTTCACCAATGAGCACCAAAAGAAGATGTCTTTCCCAGTCAGCACTTAGATCACATCGCCCTGTTGCTAGGCCGGTGGCTGTTGGGCTCCCAGGGTAAGACTAGTCAGAGAAGATGCTTATATAAAGTACTTGCTTGAGCTTTCTAACAAAGTTTTCTTCTGCCTGGTGATCTCTTATGATTTCTTTGCATGCCACATCGAAAAGCTATCGTTTCCTCCAGTGCAAGTAATATAAACAGAACATATACCTTGACAGTCTTGATGGCTAATTGTCTTTGGATAAGATATGCATGGTTTCTTTCCATTTTTCTTCTGCTGAAAAGATCACAGCTAACATATTAGTATAGAATAGAATTAGTATACCTAGCTAATATTACAAAAGGAATATTTTCATGAATTCTGAAACAAAGGAAAGTTAATGAGGAAGTAGTGCAATAATAATGATTCAAGAGTTGCATTTATTGTGCTGCTTGCTAACAATTTGTGTTCCAGTATAAAGCCTATTTGACATAATGTATAGGATCCTGTTATAAACTTTTTGTTCAGTTAAAAAACATATACTTCCAAGAATATTGGGAAAAGCCAGCATGATGTAACAATTGAAGTGTTGAATAGGAGAAAGAAAACCCAGAATCTAGCCCACCCTCAGCTACAGAAGCTCATTGAGTAATTATGGGCCAGTCATTCTCCCTCAACCCAACTGATCACACAGAATTGTGTTGGATTGGGGGGGTGGGTGGAATAGGAGAAAGGACTACAAGTACTACTTTGAGCCCCTGAATTAAAGATGGGATATAAAGTGAATGAAAGATTCGTGTGGTAAGCTCAGAATATTTAACTTAGAATATTTTTAAAAATACTGAAAAGAACATTGAATTAAAAAGTGAATTTCCTGACAGAGTAGCAAAAGGGGATCTTTTTGCTGTTATTTTGTACATGCATGTATAGCTTTAGAATTACTTGAGAAATACAGAATTTTACAGTTCTGTCTAGCTTTCTCTTTTAAAAAAGCTTAACGTGTCTGTACTAAAATGGAGTTTAGCAAAATGAAAATGTTCAATGTGTGCCTTGGTGATAATCATCAATATTAATATATGGTTAATGTTTACATGAATATGTGCATATATGCTAACTTCATACTAGTTGATTCTGTTTTTGTTGGTATATGAAAACATTTAATAGTTTTCTCAATATGTGGAAAGTATGGTAGTTGAAATAAATGTAGTTTAAGAAATTGCATTCTTCCATAGAAAATCTTATAAGTACTCTAAACAATTGATGGTCAGAATGCGGCAGTTCTGTTTGCAGCCTGGGGATGCATCCTAAAGGATGCAGGAAATATTTTTCTGATGTACATAAAGTACGGTGTGTATATTTCTGAATGACATTGTCATCAGTATCCTCTATTTTGATGGAGAAAGCCGAAGAAGAGAAAGGCCAAAGCCCTATTCCTTTTTTTGATACCCAGTTCTGCCTTTTTTTGGTGTGTGGGAGAGGGGAGGAGGAATGGGGATAGAGGAAATATTACAGATTTATAGACCGCAGAAAGTTGATTTCTGTTTTAGAGAAATCAACTAAGCCAAAAGGTAGCTTTATGTGGTGTGTGAATCTTTGTTTATAAGCCATAGTTTTTGGCTCTATATACTGAGAAAACACAACCTGGGTTGTTTAACAACCATCTTCAAACAAGCCATGGTTAGTATATACGTTTCTTTCTCTCATTCTATTTTAAACATACTCCGCATTTCACTATAAACATTTTTGTTTCTTAATTTGTAATAGAAAATGTAAAGGAAATGTTTTTGTTGTTGTGTAAGCATACTTCTACATGTAGGCAGTCCTCAACTTATAACCACAATTGACTCCAAAATTTCCATTGCTAAGCAAGGCACTTGTTAAGTGAGTTTTGCTCCATTCTGTGACCTTTCTTGCCACAGTTGTTAAGTGAATCACTGCAGTTGGTTAAGGAAATCCAGCTTCCCCATTGATTTTGTTTGTCAGAAGGTTGCAAAAGGTGATAACTTGACACCAGCAGCCATCATAAATACATGCCAGTTGCCAAGTGTCTGACCATAGGGATGCTGGCAGTGGTTGTAAATATTAAAAATGGTCACAATTCACTTTTTTCCAGTACTGTTGGAACTTTGAATCGACACTGAAGGAATAGTTGTAAGTCTACAACTACTTATATTTATTAATATTTCTCTTTTTTATGTTTGCTTATTTAGGCAAGGATTAGATACCAAGCATTTTATACAAAATTCAAAACTTAAAGGATGCAGTGTTCCAGATATTCAGCAATCTATAAAAAAGCTGGTAGCCCAGCCAGTCACAAACTCCTGAGATCTTTAGAGTAACCACTTCTAGTGATGAGTTTGTAAGATGCAACTCGTTTACTTCCTGTTAAATAGTGACCATGTTCCTTTAACAGGCGTATGAGAAGGAATGTTGGGTCTGGGGGTATTCTTTTGCAGTTGGAGACTTAAGTCAGGGATTGGGGATTTGGCCAGGCAGGACGATTACTTGTGGGTATGAGAGGAAAGGGCAAAGTGGGGCTTACTTCAAGTTTTGGAGGAATGAGTGAGACAGCTTTATATTATTGGCCTAAAATTCTTATTTATTTAATTAGATATGGCACCAGCTACCTCTTCGGTTCTTCTTACAGGAAGAGAAAACAGGCCCTGCTTTAAAAGAGCTGACAACTGAAATATAGGGAGATAAAAGTCATGAGCTAATCAGAGGAAGTAGCTGAAGTGACTGTGGTCATTTTTTTAAAAATGTGAAATGTATCAATATCATCTTAAAGCAATTTTTGAATTGCTTAAACTTAGCTACAGTGGAAACTGTGACCAACGCTTTGTGGAAAAGTGGGTTTTAAGGAAGAACTTGAGAACACAGCAATAAGAGAAGTGGCATCATAGGTCTTGCAGGCTCAGAGCAAATAACTGTTTCTGGATCTTTGCTACACTATGTGAAATCTTTCACTGTTGGTTAGGAAGAATAAAAGGGGACGTTGTAAGTCATCCAGCAGTGCTAGAATTTGTGGTTCCAAGCTGTTCTGGGAAGCTTTTTTTCAACCTAATAACATTTGTATCCAAAATCCAAGCCAGTACCGTTGCAGTTGAAAACGCCATGTTGTCAAAGGCTGCTTTTTTGCCAACCACCTTTGGATATTATGATGATATTTAAGGGAATTCAGATATAAGCAAACTACACATAATTAGAAGAAACCATGTTTATTATTCTTTCCTGTCCACAGTCAATATAGGAGTCAATGAAGTCAGTTTTCCATATCAGGAGTACTAGAAGATATGTTTAAGGAAGAGCTTTGTGAATGCATTTGGCTCTCTTTTCCTTCAACATTTCTGTAAAAGTAGCTAATTCACAATTCCTCTGTGATACTGAATGTGCCAGATTATTTTTTTTAAAGATACTTGGTATTATTTATTTTGCCTGGCTTTCTTTTCAGTCTCGTCTTCCCCCACATATTTCTATCCTAGGTATGCTGTGAAATAGGTAGCAGAGGGTGAGAAAGAGAGAAAGGACTGTACAATTTTGACTAGTAAATTTGCATACAAGAAATAGTTTCCAAGTTTAGGATTTGAAGAGGGTCATTTGGCTGGATTCCTGCTCCTCTCCCCAAGAATTATAATAAAAAAATGAAGTTTCTGTCATGTGGATCCATGCCTGTAAAATACTATTACTATTAATACATATGCTTTAAAGTTTAGGGAGCTTTCTGCTTCCTTTTTATTAGGAGCCAAACTGTAAGCCGAATACACTGAGATGTCCCCTCTAGAGCCAGAGGGCCAAAGCTCATTGAGATTTAGGGGAGAATCTACTAAAGAGCAGGAATGCAGCCAAATGTTAACCTCCAAGGAAGGCAAGTTGAAGGTGAGTTTCTACAGGTAAGGTGAAACCAAAATGGCACCAGTAGGAATGCCAGAATGACATTCCAACATGGGAGCAATTCATTGGGGTTTCTTTTTTCTTCTTCAAAATATGTGTTGAATTTTAGTTGAACATAAGGGTTTATCAGTTTAGTTATACATTTGTAAACTGTCCTTCGGAATTAAGTTCTTGGATGCAGAGTATTTTTTTTTAAAAAGAAAAGAAATACAGATAGTCCTCAATTAGCGATCACAATTGGAACTAGTAACTCTTGCTAAGCACCAGGGGTGCTAAGCAAAACATCACATGACCATGGTGGACTCTTGAACTCACTTCCATTGGGGTTGTTAAATAAATCACCCGCAGTTGTTAAGCAAGACATCACATGGCAGTGACTTGCAGTCTAGCCTTTTCCGTTGACTTTGCTTGTTGCCACCCAGTTGTTAATCACACAAATAGTGATCACATGACTGTGGTCATAAACATGCACCTACGAAGGATTCAGTTGTCAATCATACGATCTCTCGGATGCCGTGATGGCCATAAATGCAAAGATTGATCATAGAATTAAATTTTCAGTACTATTACAGCTTTGAATGGTTGCTAAACGTAGTCAGTAAGCAAGGCCTACCTGGATAGTTTTAGATGTCACTTGTTCAAAGTGATTGCCTATCTAGCATTAACTCGTGATGTATTTACATAGCTATCTTTCATTATTTCGGCATTTGCAAGAAATATTCGTAGTGACAAAACTCAAAGCAATGAGTTGCATAGAGCAAAAGTCTCCCTTGGCTGGAACGATGCCTTCAGTTACCAGGAAGCTTTCGATCTGGTGCAGTTTTGCTCTTTGCTGAATAGGAGTCATGCTCTGAGGTTTCTCCATCTTGCTGTGTGGTGTGGATCACAGATCAGTGAGAGTGTTGCTGCTGGGGAAGAGAGAATGGGAAGAAGAGTGGACTAATATCACCTCTTCCCATTTTGCCAGTTGACATGTTTTGAGATGATCCCATGAAGTTGACATAAATTTCAATAAGTTTACCTAAAACCGCTCAGTCAAAATAATATTCAAATAATCTTATTAAAAAAGCAGGTTATAATTATTTGCTGAAAAAAAGAGTAGTTCCTGTAGGCAGGGCAAATTATTTGGACATGGCTTACCATAATGTAGGTGGTACTGCAAAAAAAAAATAAAAAATCTATGAATTCTGAATTCATCGTATTTCTAGTTGAGAACACAAAGCAGGGCCTCTTGCGTATGATCTTAAGATTGAGACACATTTGTATAGATAGAAGAGGATTTAAGGTGCTCTGTTATAGATTTTAGGATAACTTGTTAATCGAAACTTAGGGTATAAAATTGAAGATATATATTTCATTTGCCAATTCCAAGCAAATGCTCATTTTGAAAGAGAAAAAAACTTCAATCATTCTAAGATTTATTTCTCCTTTGTTTTTTCTTCCTTTCTACATATTGCTTTTTTGCAATTCCTTTTCTATACTCTTCATGCGGAATGGGATGTGCCTTAGATTGTAGTGTGCTATGTTATAATTTAAAAGCCCACTTCGCAACTATTTTTTTTAAGAAACTGAACTGTTGCATCTGATACTTACATTGAATTCTTAAACTTGCAACACATTTAATTCAATGGGATTAAAGAATTGTGGCTTTTTCTTTTTACATTTGGTTGTTTTTAACCATTGTATTTATTTGGGCATATAATTCACTAGTTAAAACCCAAATGCATGGATAAAAAGTAAGACTTCAGCTGACACTGAAAAATAAACAGTATAGGTGATAGCTTAACTTCAGGAGTGAAAAAAACAGTCATAAGTTACTTTTTTCAGTACTTTTTAACTTTGAATGGTTACTAAACAAACTGCTGTAAATCGAGGACTACCTGTACAAAATCTGCAGCAAAGAAGGCCCACTTCTGCATCCACATATAACATACTAATCTTAGATTCTTAATTTAAAATTTGAAGATAGTTGTTACTGAGAAGAAGAGGATTTAAGGTGTGTGAGGATTTAAGTATGTGTTCCTTTAAAACCTGTGTTACAGGTTTTCTGGAAAATGTTTCAAACAAGCCTTTTCTATATTTCCACCAGCTGCATTTTCAGTTTGTCTTCAAGGATGGCACTGTGTAACAAGCACTGGGGTAGCTTAACCATGAACCTAGTAGAACAGGTGTCAGACTGGATTTTTTTTGGGCCGGATCAGCATTGTAGTTCTCCATGGGCCGGCTGCTGGTTGAGACAGAATGGACACCACCTGCAGCACTTTGCCGGCCAAAACTGGGCATGGGGGCTGTGTGCAGCCCCTTTGCACCCCATTTTGGCTGCCAGAGGCACCGTGCACAGCCCCCCTGCGCCCTGTTTTGACTGCCAGAGGCACCACGGGCTGGTCCTTTGCTATTTCCAGGCCGGCCCTGCGAGCCAGATTTGAGCACCCCGCTGACTGAATCTGGCCCACAAGCCTTGAGTTTGACACCCCTGTTGTAGAAGATAGACTACTTTGACTTGGCATTATTGCCCAGAAAAGATTGCACTTCATAGTCCAATTGCTCAAATGCATTCCAGGTAACTGAGGCCATTTGGGTGCTGATGAGAGAGAAGAGAACACTGGTCTGCTTTGCACTTGGTCCTTCTGGATCATTGCCAACCCATTCAGAGTCTGAGTTCTCCCCAGTTCCCATAAACACATACTACCCATCTTCAGCCCTTTCAGGATTTTCATTTTTTTGGGCTTCTACCACACCTTGGATAACCTTGCATGGACGTATGGGATACAATATTGCATTTTTTCCAATGCTTTTCCTTCTGTAGTCTCTAGAGAAAAAAACTGTACCTGAGCTTTTGTTTCCTTATCATAATTGTTTTATTTTTTGTGCTGCCTTTTTTTTAAAAGAAAGAACGGGCAGCAGTCTTTTAAAATAAGTGTTGCCTGTGTAAAACCATATCATTGTGCTGAGTTCATGAACTGTACTTCTGAACTTCTAAGGAAAGCTAATTTACTAAGTTGATGCAATTGGCGTACCTCTGTGCAATACAAAAACTCTCTGATTTATAGGAGGGGTGTTCCTGCCTTGATATCTGAGCCAGAAGCTGAACCAGCCCCTGTGCCCGACTTGTTGGGGAGCATCCTGACTGGACAGAGCCTCCTTATGATGAGTGGTTCTGATGTTGTTATTAATAGAGATGGATCCTTAACAGCAAAGAAAACTGGTGAGATCTAAAGCTTTTAACAGCCTTAGTTTTTATTTTAGTTTTACTATTTAGTTTTATCTTATTTTATTTATTTTGATTCATATAGCCACCCATTTCAAAAATGTGGCTCTAGGTCAGGAGTGTCAAACTCGCCGCCTTCGGGCCGGGTGTGACACATGCTGCCCCCCCCCCCATTTTGGCGAAGGGGGGAAAGTTGTGATATGTCACAGGACAACAATGTGTCATTGCGAGTTTCACACCCCTGCTCTAAGTGGCTAACAAAATGTACATAGGGAAAAACAAAATCGCACAATCCAAACAATCAGAAAACAAGCTATATCACACGCGCACATGGAGGGGGGGGGGTTCCCTCCCCAAGCTCCAGAGGCTTTCCTCGAACCTCCAGGAGGGTGAAAATGGCCTCCCCTGCGCTCCAGAGACCCTCCGGAGGCCAGAAACAGGCCCATTTCTGGTCTTCCGGAACTTCTGGGAGGCCTGTTTTTCGCCCTCCCAGAGTCATATATGCCATGGAAGAAAAGGCTTTTCTTCCTGAGTGCTACCAAACAACACTCTGAAATGGACAGACTTGAAGCATGCCCCTCCTGCGGAACCTGACGGGAATGGGTAGAAATATTCATGGAGAGATGGTTCTGCAGGTGGCCTTCCTTCAAGCCTTGGAGGGTTTCAGAGGTGACACCAGCATCTTGAATTACACCCAGAAGCATATTGGTAGCCAACGCAGCTCTTGGAGCAGAGGTGTCACATGTCACATTCTGTACCAGGGTAAAGCTTCTGATTACTCTTTTAAGGGCAGTTCATGTACAGTGTTTTACAGTAGTCTCATCAAGAGGTTTACTAGGGCATGAGTGATTGAACAGAATCTCCCGATCCAGGAAAGGATGCAACAGACAAAGGACCAGGAGCTCTTGAAGCAAGAGCTTTGAGTCTAGAAAGAACTCCAGATTGCACAGTGGTTTTTGTCTGAAGTACTGCCATCCTGTTCAAAACCAAAGCTGAAATGTGCCCAGAGCCAGGCGGGGATGAAGTGTTCAAATTCCCAGAGCCATTTGGTCTCACGAGGACTGAGTATTGTCAATGCAAAGCATAGGTGGACTGAGTCTAAATCTATACATGTGTTCTGGGGTTTTTTTTCCCCTTAGAAGAATATTTTAATTTTTGTAATATTTGGTTAAAGACTAAGATAATTACTACATTCACATTCTGCTAACATTAAATCTTGGGTTGGAAGCAATTAGAGAATGTTTATGCTTATTTGTTTCAAAAAAGGAACTCAATATATGGAATATCTAGATTTTGTAAAAGGAGACAACTTTTAAATCTGGAAGCAATACAAATAGATGTTTATGGAATTGTTTTGAAATAGCTTATCATATAAGAGGGGTTTTCTAAAATTAAGATTAATTTTAGAAACAGAGCATTGATTTGAGCATGAGCAGATCACTTACTGCTGTGTTAAAAGCCCCTAAGATTGAATGTAGTATTTCAATATGTGTTAATTAACTTTGATTATATCACGAAGCAATTGCCAAGAGAAGTATTTGAGAAATCATTTCTCATTAATCAAAAATAATGCAATATGTTCCTCTTTGTTACAGATTGCATATTTCACAAGAAAAAATATTTTTAATTTGAAATTTTTATACATTGTTTAATAATTAATTTACATGTGACTTTTCTAAATAGTCCATAATTTTTCCCTTTTTATTAATTGTATTCTGTTTTTTTATTTTTGTTTGTAGTTCTTGGGGGTTTTGTAGCAGGCCAGAATTTTTATAGTTTCATCTAATATAAAAATACTTGCAATGAAATAATTTTCTAAAAACATTTCAGTGATAGCTCATTTCATAAGGATAACCACTGCTCAAAATGTTTTTCTTCATTTTAACATTGCAATGTTTTTTTGTATTAATATGAGCACATGTTTGAAAACTCATTTTTCTCTTAATTGTTTTCAGTCCCATTACTGCGTGGCAGTTCACAAGCAGACGAAGCTTTGGAGGACAATTCCCAGTCAAGGACACCAATTTTGGAGACCTTAATTACAAACTCTGGCACTGATTCTTTCAACTCTAAAACTCCTGTCTCAAAGCCTTGCTCGTCATCGCCATTGTCACTAAGCATAACAAACAGAACAGTGACTTCGCCACATGCTACAATTGGAAGAGCGCCAATTCGATTTGATTACTCCATGACTCCAAGATCTGTTCAGACTCATAATTTAACCAATCTGAATAGAATCGGGAGCAAACTGGGTGACTCATTCAAATTTAATGGAGGCTCTAAACTACCGTTGGGCCCTCTTTCTGCACCTCCTAAACCAAACAACAACCCCAGTTCCATTTCAAAAGCAGTTTATGGCAAACAGCCTTTGAAATCTTCTCCTAAAAGGCCTGATATCTCTGAACTTCCAAGAATACCAAAGATTAAGAAGGAAGCAAACAGTGGACACCTGGGACTACAACCTGCCACTGACCAAACTAATAACATTCCCAGCTCCTGTATAACACAGTTGACTGGCAAAGGAAACACAAGCCAGCCAATCAAAAGCAACAGAATGGAAACCAGCAAGCCGCAAGCTACTCAGCAACAAACGCATTCAACTTCTGCAAGTTCTGCTCATGGCAGTTCCTCGTTTTCTTCAGCAAGAGGGAAAGTTGGAAGTTCCTCCTTTGAGAGCTTTAAAATCAACATCCCTGGAAACGTGGCTCATTCTAACAGACTGTGTAATCCCGGGTTTTGCAATACGTTTCGACCGGTGGACAATAAAGTGCAACAGAAGGAGAATCCTTCACCCCTTTTCTCATTGAAAAAAGCGAAACCCGTCAAAAGTGAAATATACGATCCTTTTGATCCCACAGGCTCTGACTCAAGCTCAACACACAGTAGCCCTGAAAGGCTCCCCCTCACTAATATTACCAGAACAATATCCATAGGAAGTTCAAAAGTTCAGACCTTCCAAACCGTGCGCCGCATTACTCCTTACCCGCTGGAAAATATCTTTGAATCTGAAGTTGATTCGTTGGAGGCCCCTTCAAGTAACGCAGAATCTCATGATGATATGGTAATAAAGGAGAGATTTGTAGAACAGGTTTCTGATGAAGAACAAGATAAAATTGATGATAATGAAGACTCAGGTACACCCTGTAGCTCCTCAGCTATTAAGCAAGTTACTGATGCAGAGCAGATAAATGACGAGGATAAAGATAGCCCTGGCGTTGATTTTGAAGATGATTGGGATACAGTTAGGGTAAAAAAGGAATTAGTTAGCCCCTCAATAGGAAAACAGCAGCAAAATGTTAAAAGTGTGCAAGCAAGAAAACGGTCTTTTTCGAGATCCCCATCAAATTCCAGTTCTCAGGGTCAAAGAGAAGTTAAAATTAAAAAGATAGACATCAAAGAAGACAAACGTAGTAAATCAAGATCTAGATCAAGGACACATTCAAGGGAAAGAAGTTCCAGATCAGTGTCCCACTCCGTTGAAAAGAAATATAGCAAAAGCCATGGAGTTAAAGCAAAAACCCGTCGGTCATCTAGTGATTGTTCCAGTAGCCACGAGCGATCGAAAAAAAAGAAAGCAAAAACTAAAACTAAAGACAAAAAACCAAGTGGCTGGCCCAAAGAGCATAAGAGATCTCGGTCGCAATCTGGTAGTCCTGGCAATTCTTCTTTTGAAATATATGGCACCAAGAAAAAGAAAAAGCATTCTAGAGCAAGAGATCCAGAATGTTCCCAATCAAATAGTGCTGAGAGAGCTAAAAAAAAGAAACACAAAAGAGAGAGGAGCTATGATAGGTATGAGAAGGAGAGGACCTCAAGCTCAAGAGATACAAAAGGATCTAGATCTCGGGAGAAACATAAAAGGCGTTCAAGATCACCTCCCGAATTAAAACCCCATGAATCAAAAGGATCTAAAGCTAAGGAAAAGCCAGTACAGTCTCAATCCTGCTCCAAAGAAAAGAAACACAAACCAAAAAAGGTGTCTCTACAACCTCTTCAAGAAAAAGAGCTCAGATCTTTGGATGACCAAATCAAAAATTCTGAGCATTCTCTTTCTTGGGAACAGGAGTTGGACAACACAGAGCAAGAAGCAACAAATATTTATTGTGATCTAACACCCGTACAAGAGATTTCTTCAAAAGATAACATAATTAAAGTTGTATTTGATGAGACTACTAGAGTGGGTGATGATAAGTTAGATAATGAGGTACTTCCTTCCCAACTGGATTTCACAGATTTTGAAGTGTTACCTGATAATATAGATTCCTCCACTGAACTGACAATAGACTATGATTCATCAATATTTGATAACCAAAGCAGTGAGAAACAGGAGGAAATTGAAATTAAAGAAGATGATGATGATGTATGTCCTTTCTTAATAGATTCTCTTCCCGAAAAGGCGGCATATACACCAAGCTGTGATGAAGCAAGTCTATCTCATACTTTGCCTGAAAGCAAAATGCCAGTTCTGTCAAAAGATACAGAGCCTGTATTAGTTGAAAGTACAGTTGATAAAAATAAGACTGAACTGGAAGCAGTAGTTCAGAGTCCTGTGTTGAAATCTAAATCATTAGTGAAAAGAGTTACGTGGAATCTTCAAGAAGAAGAAAGTGATACGGTGGCCGTAGATAAAACAGCAAGTAAGTAAGATGATTTTTAAAAATAAAAAAATAAAAAAAATGAAGCACAATTTAGAATAAAATCCAATTTTCCCATTTTAAAAATTATGTTGATCTTGATTCAAACAACATCTTGTGAGATTCACTGTTGATGTGATTTCTGATACACATTTACAATGTGTAAGTGGGAGCTGTGCAGAGACATATTGGGAAATAGGGGGAGACATATGTGCCCCAGTTCCATGGATGCAGCATTGTTGATTGTTGTCTCATATGATTGTTCTGAAAAGTTTTGAGATACGTAGTCTATAAAGGAGAAGGTTAAGGATTATTGTGATAGACAGGTACAAATCAGGTATATGTTACATTTAGGAGGGTAATTACAGATCTCTGAGAACATTTCCTGAGTAATAATCCCTCTTGGCTCTATTTATCATGTCCTTTGCATTGTACTGTCATATGATGGATTTTTAATTTTTAGTGGGTTTTTCCCCCCTCCTTTCGTCTCCTTCATTCTTTTGTGTTTTATGAACTGACAGTTGACCTCCTAGCCAGTATTGTAAACCAAAGCTTGACTGTAATTTGGAGGCAATTGCAAATCATAACTTTCTAGTTCAGATGCAAGGATCAAAGGAAATGCCAGGCATAGTGTTAACTGACCCATGTTTCCTGTACATAATGTATACGTGGTATGTTAGTAATCCGTAGGAATGTTATATAGCTTGAGGATTCAGTTACCTTCACCCTTATTCTGGAATCACAACAGGTGTGCTAAGTATCACTCAACCTAGGATGTAAGATGCTAGTCAGTTTGAATGTGGAGGTCTTTCTAAAAACTGAGAATAGCCTTTGTGCTAAAATAAACCTTTTGAACCTTCCTGAGGCTGGTGATTGGAGCTGTTTTCTACAAGGGGGGGTGTGTGTGAGTCAGAGACAAAGGTAGTGGCCCTTTAACTCCATTTCATTTGAACTTTCCTGAGGCTGGTGATTGGAGCTGTTTTCTACAAGGGGGGGTGTGTGTGAGTCAGAGACAAAGGTAGTGGCCCTTTAACTCCATTTCATTTGAACTTTCCTGAGGCTGGTGATTGGAGCTGTTTTCTACAAGGGGGGGTGTGTGTGAGTCAGAGACAAAGGTAGTGGCCCTTTAACTCCATTTCATTTGAACTTTCCTGAGGCTGGTGGTTAGAGCTGCTGGCTATAA